CACCTACACATAGGAATTCCAGAGATAGATTGTTGGAAGGGAATGCGCACTCTCTCCCTGGAGGAATTCATCCTTACCTATTCAGGTAATCAAAATAACCACATCATATTTAAAGGAACATTGTTGCCTTGATAAAATATTTTCAGCCAGGGCTAGTTTCTCACAATCCATGAAACATCCTGTTCCAAAGTACTACTAAAAGATGCCATGTAGATTTACACAGAAAGTCTGCAATAACCCATCAAATCCTATCCAATAATACGGTAGAGAAATGGAATGATATCCAGTTCATCAACACTGATATTGTTAGGGATCCCTACAAGGAACTAAATGTTCCTTGGAACAAGCAACAACAATATTACATTTGTATAGCTCCTTTAACTTCACATTATGGTACTCAAAAGATAACTTCAATTTTCTAGCAAGCTTTACGGGCATATGTTTTTAACTGTAATATGAATTCTTACATTTGATGTGGAATGAGAAAAAGTAATTTGCAATTGTCTTAAAATTGAAAAGCCCAAAACAGAGCTGGAGATTAAAAGAATCCCCCCCCCCACCCCATCCCTCCCTAGAGAATATGTAGTTGGTACAGATTTCCCTTAACTCCTTCAAACTGGATAAGTATCTGGTTGGAAATCTGAAATGATTAAATCCCCTTGTATTTGTTATACTAAACCTGATATTTAATGTAGCACATTTTTGAAATGATTCAGTGTTTTTTTTTTACTGTACATTGTAGTTACGGTGTATGTGTATCTCGGTTTAATATCTCATTCAAAGAATGGGTTTAGTTAAAATGAAGTAAAATATCCATGACATGATTTAGTTTTGATAACTGTCCATCAGCAGGAATTACAATGTGTAACAACACAATGTGGGGTCTCTATAAGAACCCTTTTTTCTCATTTTATCTCTCAGAGCTTGTCATAGATTTTCCAAATGTCAACAGAGGAATGATCCATTTTTTCCAATTTTGGAATCTAAGATTCTGGCACACATAGTTTTTTAAAATCATTTTACAGTCATTAAAATTGTTGCTGTGATGACTCATTATAGAAGTTTTACAACTTCTTTGTAGTACTCTGTCTCCTTGTGCAGCTTATTGTATCCCTTTCCCCCACCACGACCACCTCGCTCCATGTATGAAATCTCCCTTGTGATGGCGTTTACTCTCTTTTCCACCCACCCACTGAGATGATTCCTCATGTGTGTGTCTCTCCTATGGAACTGTATTCGCAACCTGCCCAATTCCCCAATGGTGCCTTCAATTCCCATGATAGGTACAGCCCTGTTGATCGTGCACCTGATTTTCCCTGTGTTCAGTATGTTTAGAATTGCACATTTGTGACTTACACTCATTGTGTGTTAAACAATTAAATGCACAATCTTCCACCCCAGCAAACTCCCACCCTTAGCCTGTAAAACTGTTTTGTCTTAAAATTCAAGATCACATATGCAGCGCACAGGACATAATGTTGGCAGAGATCTGTTGATCTGGAAGGTCATTCTAGTTTCCCATGCTAAAATAATGTCCAGAACATCCATATCACTGGCTAATCCCAGCATTGGCACCCAGATAGCTCCTTGAAGCACTTCGAGATGTCCCTCCAGAAATGAAAAGCACTAAATAAACATAAATTGTTGGTGTCATCTCCTGACACTGACTGCTCCCAAACCCTCCATAGCCTCACTGAACTGACACTGTGGAACCCTCACCACATCTTATCAGTATTATAGCTTCTTCATTAGATTGTCCGATCTGAAGGAGGAAATCCTCTTTGTTAAAAAAAATTAAAACCTGACACAGACACATTCCCACTACCTGTGCACGTGTGCCACTTCTACATTTGAGTAACTCAACCCTCCTTTGCACAGATTTGAACAATCATAGGTGTCAGACTGGTAAATGGTAAAACTGCCATAGAAGCAATCCAGATAAGTCCAGTAAAGATTGCACCAAACCCATTTGCTCTTTCTTGCTTCTGTAAGGGACCCACTGTAAAAATAAACAGTGATTTTATACCACTGCATTATATCAACAATTTAATATCACCTTCCAGGTAGGAAAATGGGGATCAATCAGACATAAGGGAACATGGAAGAAGAGAGTGAACAGAGATATGTACAGCTGTTTCGACTGGAGTGTTTAGTCAGATATTATTGATAAATTACCATTAGTAGCTAATAGTTATTTTAAAGAAGTTGATGGTTTGTTGTACATCTTTTTTTACAAATAATGACAAACTCATCCAAATTAAACAGGAGAAACTGAATGAAAATCTTTGATTGAAAATAAATATAGACTTTTATGAATATGTCTAACTGTAGTTCAGGGTTTAGAGCACTTGCCTTGCAAGCGAGACACCTGGGTTCAATATAATGATAATAATAATCCTTGCATTTGATATAGCGCTTTTCACGTCTTCTCGACGTCTCAAAGCGCTTCACAGAATAGACTGTAAAGTGAATTGACTGTATATCCAATTGCGCACAGCAGTGTCCCACAAACAGTCGTGGATTGAAAATTACCAATTTATTATTGTTTTTTATTTTGGAGGGATTATTATTAGGCGTGTGGAGTAAGGAAACTTGCCCAAGGTTTTGCCCTGTCTGGAATTGAACCCAGGTGTCTCGCCTGCAAGGCGAGTGCTCTAACCACTGAGCTACAGGACTCCAGCATTCCAGGCAGGGCAAAACCTTGGGCAAGTTTCCTTACACCACACGACACCTAATAATAATCCCTCCAAAAAAACAAGACAATAATAAATTAGTCATTTTCAATCCACGATTGTTTTGGGACACTGCTGTGCACAATTGGCTGCCGCGTTCCGCCCACAAATATACAGTCAATTCACTTTACAGCATATTCTGTGAAGCACCTTGAGACATCTAGAAGACGTTAAAAAGCGCTATATCAAATGCAAGGATTATTATTATTATTATTGCAAGACCTTCCTTTTCAACCGTGCTTTCAGTCACTCCCCCCCCACCACCTCCCACCCGCGGCTTGGGCTCACAGTTAGTTATGTAAATTGTTGTTCATGTCTCCAACCTCAGAGCTTCCTGCTTCCGATCAGTTCATTTTAGCTGCAATGTTCCTATGTAGTGATAACATTTCCTGTGTACTGTCAAAGCTAAATACAGTGGTGGTGCTATTTTCTTGTATAATACATGCTTTCTGCTTCATGGCTGATTACTCACAGTTCCTTTATACTGAAACCTGCCACCTTCCCAGACAATACATACCCTGCTGATCTCAAGCTAAGTGCTTGCATCTGCCGAGATTGTTGTTTTGTCTCATCCATTTTTGGTTATCAAAAACAACCCACAGTTCGCTGTGCTCTGCAATCACTTGAAATGGTTTATTATTCAATTTTGCAATAATGCTTTTAATGATTTATGTTTTTAATGATTTCTGCTTTAGCTCAATCAGCTTTTGGATGTTTTGAAAGCACCATTTATTACTCCTCTACAGCTATAACTATATTTGCAAGATTCTAAAATCCAGTTCTCTACATTCTGTTTTTGAAAATTATTTTTAGGAGTTGGTATTCCTGGTCTCTCATATTTGTTCACACATTCATATAGTAATCCTTGCATTTAATATAGCATGTTATCATGTCATTGGAAGTGTCTCAAAACACTTCACAGGATACACCAGAAAGTGGTGTAACTGCATTTTGTTTGCAAATGCCAAAGCTACGTACCGGAGAGCAGGACATCGCTAAACCCAAGCACACATTCTTATTTGAACATTCTGAGGTTATTCATGAGAATTATTATTAGTCTTATTAATATTTAGTGTTTATGACCTTCATAGCACACTTACGTGGCATATTTTATGCTAGCGTTAGTCAAAGGTTGCTTCAACATCACACAAACAACAACCGAGTGTTCCGGCGACTTCTCTTTTTATTTCTATGGCCGTCTCAGTAGCCCAGTTCCTGAACCAGATATGCCTGGTGCATGGAATTCTCAGTTAGGTTTGAATACTCTTAAGCATGGTAAAGGGTATTTCGCATGTGTCAGACACCTGGCTGACCCAAAAATATCTAGAAAGAAACTTCCTGTGTTCCTATTTACAAGATATCACTAAACATTCAGAGTTCAAATTAGTCATCAAATTTCTTCCATTTACAAATATTCTTAAATTTGAGAAATGCTCAAGGTAATTAGTGATAAAATAACTTGTGTCAGTCCAAAATGTGCTCTTGGTGGGCACTTGAGTGCATTGGAACACTGAATAGCACCACCACAGAGCGAATGGAATCAGGTTTGAGTTAAATAACTTGCTGGTAACACTGCCAAGGAAAGTGCATTTTCTTCTTGCAATCTAGCATCTGAATACTGTATGCTTATTATTATTCCTTATAAAGACAATAATTGCATTCCTCTTCTATAAAATAGGACTGAGCTGGTTTGCTAAACATTTCAGCAAGGATAAGAATCCTTTAGTAAGTGTCACTGTTGTAGTTTGGTTGAGCCCTGTAGTGGTTAATGAACTCGCCTCGCAAGCGAGAAACCTGGGTTTGATTCCCAGGTGAGGTAAAGCGTTAGGCAAGTTTCCTTGCTCCACACGCCTCTGTTTGCCTAGTAGTAAGCAGGAACCTGGTTGTCAATCGCTTGCAGATCTCTTCCCTGTGGCAATAACCACGACTGCTTGTGGAACACCGCTGTGCGCAACCGGCGGCCGCGTTTCCCTCACAAGATACCGTCAATCGCGCTTTACAATATATTATGTGAAGCGCTTTGGGAACGTTCTCAACGCCGTGATGAGCCGCTGCGTCAAATGCCAGGAATTATAGTTATTAATAATAATAATAATAATAATAAGTGTAGCGAGTTGTCCCAGCTTCTTTGTGGGCAGCAGGGCTTGGGAGAGCTCTGTGGTTATTGGTGGCTTGTGGCTTCAGGGCGTGCCTTGCCATTCATGAAACACGATGCCATTTGCAGGCTCCTTTCACATGGTGGAAATTTCCACCGTCTCCTCTGCCCTGTTATATTGCAGAGGATCTCACTCTGAAAATTAGAATTCACTCTTCCTCCTCCTGCTTTGTTACTTGATTCACGTTGCAAATAAAAGAGGTGGGTTCCAGCAATGCAGTTCCTGAACAAACAAAACAATCAGTAACATTTCAATGGTATCCTCTATTATTTCGATTTCAATTGCTGGCTGAATGTGATATGTTTAGGCATCTGATACGTTTGTGTGTTTTTGTTTAAATAACGTTCCTGCTGTGTGCTTTAACGTATTGAATAAGGCTCTTAACGTAATAAGAATATGCTAAGTTATGGACGTGTTGAATGTTGCTGCAGAATTGTTAGGGCTGGAAATGTATAAGCAATGAGTGAATGAGAGAGAGAGAGAGAGAGAGAAAGTCTGGATATTTTTGTGCAGCAAAGAAATGGTAAATATATATATATATATATTGTCAGAGTCGATTTAGTGTCTTTCTATTGAAAACATCCCCAGTGGATGAATGACTCTGAACAACAGATCACTGAACGCCCGCAGTGTTTTTCAGAGTTGAATCGTTTTTTGCTGTTATTTTAATCGAAGTGCCTCTGTGTGCAGCCAAAAAAAAACCCCCAACAACAGCCCCCAGTGATGGTGGTGTTTACCGTTGTGAGGGGAGAACCCATTGCCAGGTTCTGTTCAGCACAGCAGTGTTTGCATGTCGCTCCCCTGTTGGTTGCAACCACTGACTTTTGAAATTGAAATTGAAATTGAAATTGAAATTGCAGAAGGTTTTTTTTACGGTGACCTGTCAAAAAAAAAAAAAAAAATACCGTTGATGAGCTATTGCTTAGTCTTAAGTCTGGAGGGTTTTAAGGAATTGCGCACACGTTGTGGTCCTGTATTGGGGGGGGGGGGGGAACTGTCTCGTCTCTGTGCACTCATCCCGGGCTCTCCCTGGTCTGCATCTGCACCGATTTATTTCGGTGGCGGCGCAATCCGATGGGGGATCTGCACCAGAGTCACCACACAACAACCTCTGGTGCAATCGTGGTCTCAGCCACTGCTCACGGGGCTGTGATGGAGCTGAGCACTGAGCTACTTTGCGGGCGGTGGGGTTGCAGTTCTTCCAGTCACCGCGGCTCTCTCTGCATTGCCCATCACACAAGTGGCTCAGGTTTTGAGGGGAGGATCTGCAAAGCCTTCTCCATCCCTCCACCCACCCTCCCACCCCACAGCATTCATTCTCTCTCTCTCCCTCTCCCCCTCTCTCTCTCTCTCTCTCTCTCTCTTTCTGGCCTCTGACTGCTTCTCCCGTTATCTTGGTCTGACCAGTTGTCTTCACTGTTCTGAAGAAAACAATAATATTGGTAATAATTTTGGTCGCTCAATCGCGGCTGTTTGTGGGACGCTGCTGTGCGCGATCGGCTGCTGCGTTTCGCCCACAAATTATACATTTCTAGCATTTCTTATGATCTTGTAGGAAATAACATTATGGGATATAGTACATAGGTAGTTCGGGACACATGTGCATGCGACCGCCAGGAAGGAGGAAGGCGAACTAGATGGACTTGGTCTTTTTTCATCCAGCATTTCTTATGTTCTTATACAGTCGATTCATTTTACAGTATATTCTGTGAAGCGCTTTGAGATGTCTCAATGATGTGATGAAGCACTACATCAAATGCAAGGATTATTACTAATATTATTGTTGTTGTTCTTGTCTACTTGCTCCATGGGAACCAACAAAAGGAATGAGTTATACAAGACACGTTTGTATTCTTTAGCTATTTAAATGTCACTTCATTTTTGATGTCGCTCTTTTTAACGTTTCACGCTTGTTTTGTGATTAAAGTTTTAAAAACAGATTTCATTTTGCTAAGCTTTAATTTTTTTTAAAGTTTAACTTTTATTTCATTTAAATTTTGATTTGAGTTTTTCAGTTTTTTATTTTACTTTCTGATAGTTTCTATTAGTTTTTAAGTTTTACATAAATAAATAACCCTTCCAGTTTGATAAAGCACCTTTCTTGCCAGCTGGATGTCTCAAAGCACTTCACAGGATACACTATAATGTGTAGTGACTGTATTTTGTAGGCAAATCCAGCAGCCAATTTCCACACTACAATTCTGACAAGTAGACATGAAGTGAATGGCCAGTTTTGTTTAAGGGTTTTTGGCCAGGACACCAGGAGAAACTCCTTTCTCTTTTTGAATAGGACCTTGGTTTAATGTTCTATCCAAAAGCTGGTACCTCTAACAATCCTGCACCCCAAGCATTGCATTGGAGTAATAATTGAAAACTAGCCAAAGTCACCATAGTTTCATCATGAATTTGCTTCCAATGTAAATACAGGTAGTGTAGAACTATTTGTCTGCTGATAGCTGCACTTGTGTTCAAAATGCAGAATTACTACACTACACAGTAATTCCTGTGCAGTAGATTGAGATGTCCTCCCATGAAAGGCATTGTATCAAATGTAAGGATTATTATGATCATTATTATTAATAATAAAGTCTCCCTGCTTAAAAGCTCTGAAACAGTACCATTTCTAGTATTAAGCAGACCTAACCTGAACATCACCTTTTTTGTTCTCTGCTACTCTTTACAAATTGGATGGTGCTCTGCATTTTTGACCTTCAAAAGGTTCCAAATTGTTTTTTAAACTTAAATCCTAAATAATTGCGCACAACCTGTCTAAGGTTGACTGATCCTGGAATAAAAACATTGGCACTTAACAGGAAATGCATATTCAGATCCTCATCCAATGACCAGCCCCAGTTAACTTTCATTTATAAATACACAGACAATACACTTTTCACAAAAACTCTGAAGTGTGAGTCAGTGCCTTCATGAGAGGAGGGGTGAAAATTTGAGTAAAGAAACCAAACGTTTTCAATTACATTTCAGAAATTTTAGCGTATTTCAAGATCTTGTAGTTTCACAGGACTGATATCCACTGGCACCATCATAACCAAGTTTGGTAAGTTGAAACTATATTTTGTGCGAAGATAATTTTCTTGTCTTTTTTAAACTGTCATAAAGGAAAATATTGGTTAACTACACTGATTTAATCGTATATGAAAGCTGTTCAAAATCTGTCATACAAAAACAGTGATTTCTTAAATGTAGAGGTTGTTTAGTTTAGTCACAAGGGAAGTTCACATTAAAAGAAGCCCTTTGACCATTTGATCTCAACCTTCCAGAATTCCGAACATACCGTCCTCTCATTACAGCATCAAGCTATTTTTTAATTAATTAACGCCGTGACCTCAACTGCCCTTTCTGGTAAACTGTTTCAGTCATTATTTCTCAGAATAAAAAAATACTTCCTGGAGGCTGGCCTAAAATTTCCTTTGTCACCTATGACTTCTTGTTCCGTTGCAGTGGTGCATCTGAAAGTATTGTTCTGGGTTTACTTTCTCAATCCTGTTTAAAATCTCATTTACCTCTCTAAAATAATAATAATAATAATCCTTGCATTTGATATAGCGCTTTTCACGTCAGGAGGACGTCCCAAAGTGCTTCACAGAACACACTGTAAAGTGAATTGACTGTATATTTGTGGGCGAACGCAGCAGCCAATTGCACACAGCAATGTCCCACAAACAGTCGTAGATTGAAAATGACCAATTTATTATTTTTTTTTGGTTTTGGAGGGATTATTATTAGGCGTGTGGAGTAAGGAAACTTGCCCAAGGTTTCGCCCTCTGCCTGGAATTGAACTCCGTTCTCTTGCTTGCAAAGCGATTGCTCTAACCACTGAGCTACAGGACTCCAGCTACAGGAATCCCCTCTGCGACATCTCTTTTCAAAATTGAAAAATAATTTTCAATTCTTTTAACATCTGCAATCAAACTTGTTGTCCTTCTCTGCCTTGCCTCTAGGGCTTGGGTGACCCCTTCTATCATGGCGAACAGAACTTGAGGTACAGGCTGACCCAGATCATCCCACCTATACCTGGATATTGCAGAGATATTTATTCAAATGGAATGCGCACTCTTCTTTTTGTATGAGGATGACACACAAATCGACATTGCCTCCTCCAGTACCAACTTCAGGTCTACCGATGTTCTATCAGCTTGTCTGGCAGACATCAGGAGCTGAATGAGTGCAGACTTCCTGCAGCTGAATGTGGACAAGACGGAAGCCATACTCCTTGGCTCCCGTCAACATCTTTACTCCTGCGGATCTAAACTCCTCAATCTCCCTGGGCTCTTCCTCAGACTCACCAAACCAGTGCGCAATCTAGGCTTGCGATTCGATCCCCAGCTGTCCTTCTCCCCCACATCCGGTCCATGACCAGGATTGCCTTCTTTCACCTCCGCCACATTGCCCGCCCCCGACCATACCTTACCCCAAATGCAGCGGAAACCCTTGTGCATGTGTTTGTCACCTCCTGCTTGCATTATTCAAATGAATTCCTCGCCGGTCTCCCCAGCTCCACTATTCAAAAGATCCAACTCATTCAGAACTCTACCACCTGCATACTGACCCGGACCAAACTCTGTACCCACATCTCGCAAGTTCTGGCCAGGCTCCACTGGCTCCCCATCACCGAACAGATCAACATTAAGATCGTCACACCTCAATCCCTCCGCCTTGCCCCCCCTCTCCCCTTTTTCAAGTTCAAGTCCCACCTGAAGACCTTCCTCTTCGAATGTGCTTACAGCCACCACCACCCACCCCGCCCACCCCAGCTTGGAGTCAGGCTCCACCGCTGTTAAGGGCTATCCTGCATGGATGGCACTACATAAGTTGCAAGTCATTGTTGTTTTTCCAAAGGGTAAATAACGACAGGAACTGGTTGCCAGGGAGGGTTGTTGTGACCAGGATGTTGGATTCATTTAAAAAATAGTTTGATCTTGCAAATGCGATGACACTAGGGTAGGTATTCTGGAAGAATGAGATCAAATTGTCCAAAGAGCCTTCTTCATCCGAACCAATCTTATGATCATTCTGGAAAAAAAACAGGAAATACATGTTATGTGGGTGGTCATTTAGGGCTGAACGTGACGAGCAGCATATGCAGTTGGCATGAACTAATTCTTTAGGGAAACTTGAAAGAAAACATAGAAATTGCTGGCATCGGACATCAGGTCAATTGACATCAGAAACGGAAAGAGAGGTCAATGCTTTGGGCATGTTCCTTCATCAGAAATGAAAAGAAATTGGCATCACTTTGAGAGTTGATGCCAATCAACGTAAGTGGAGAATGAACACAATGAAATAACCATGGAAAGGCCATAATTGTGGCTTTGAGGGCGTAGTTATTTGCCACGTACATTCTTGTGGTTAGGATAAGTAACAAAGATTAGAACAGTTTAAATAGTGAACACGTAAATTGTATTTTTAATATAGCAGTTAACAACAGGATTCACTAATAGTGACTCACAGTCCAACGCCCTGGAAATCGTTTGGCTCACACAAGTCAACTGATGTATTACTCGTTTACTGACAAATCTCGGTTAACGATTGAGTCCCTATAGGGGAATCCATCGATGAACTACATTTTAACTCAAATAATAAATTAATTGTGATACATAGCACAATAAATACATGGATACTTTAGCCCTACTTGAATATTGGTACATTTTTTTTATGTACAACGATGCCTTACATTACTGCCATCACTATTTTATTTGCAAATTAGGTTTCTTAACCATTATTTTATTGTGTTTTGGTGTAGCACCACACATTTTTATTTTAAAATACAAAATATAAAGTTGCCAGAGAAAGCTAAGAGAAAACATTGAAGCAACAACTTCATGCTCCAGTCATACAGGATTCAGGGCCCATTTGTAGAATGGGATGGGCAAGCAGCACCAAGCTATACTATGCTATCATATTATGGAATTCAAACACATATGCACATTTATTTATGCAAATATATATTACTGTCTTATTTCCTCTTCTGATTTTTCTGGTTAATCTGAAAAAATAAAAACGTTATTCAACTTCAAATAATGTAGAACCTATGCTCAGTGTCTAATGTTAGAAACGTTTAACAATGGAAGCCTGAATGATGTCCAGAAGTACTGCCTGGGTTTGTTTCAGACATCCGTTTTAAAGTTTAAAAGGTTTGCTTTGTTTTAGCTATAACTTGAAATTGGTAGGAAGCCAAAGTGGTTGAAAGAGAGATTGCCTGCTGGAGTTGGTGTCTGACTGAATGCCAAATCCTAAATTGGCACAGATTTTAGCGCAAGCACCTTTTATTTTAAATATGTTAGATCAACAACAACATATTACATTTGTATAGCGCCTTTCAGGTCAGAAGGATGTTGCAATACACCAAAGTGGTTGAGAGAGATTACCTGCTGAGAAGTTATTCACTATCAGAAACTATATCGATATCATTGGGCAAGCTGGAATGTACACAAAGCCGTAAAAAGCTTAATGATGTTGAATGACGCTTAGTCCCTGTTGTTTGTTCCAAAAGTTGATGCACTATTGTAATCTTGCTAAGTCACGCTCACTCTCCTTACCTGCACTTTCAAATGTGTACACGTCCTTGTGCACACCACTGTGTGTTCTCTTGCGCCCCAACTGCCCCAGCCAGCTTCCTCTCCTCAGCACACACTAGCCTGGTTTCTCTCCTCAGCAAATACAGGCCTGATTCATGTTCCTTTCTTTAACCCCTCCCCCACCATCCGTTGGCAAGCCTTCAACCATTCTGCCCCTGCTCTCTGGAACTCCAAATCAGAGTGCCTTTCCTTACACATCCATCCCTGCCATCCAAATCACACTTTAAAACCTTTTCAACTGCACTTTCAGCCTTTCCTTCCCCTCCCTCAACCATTCGGCTTCTCTCCTCAACTCAGTGCTTCACGCAGCTTGGGCACCCAGCTGGCTGTGTGAAGCGCTGAGGTGATCTCCCATCCTCCTGATGCGAAAGGCATTACATAAATGTAAGTTGGTGGTGTTGTCATGCATTATGTTTTATTAAATAAAATATTGGAGCATTGAAATTTCATTCAGGGTTTTTCCTCCTCTCAATAGAGAAGAGAGAAAATTAGCCCCTATTGTGGGGTATGAGTTGGCGATTTCTCAGTAAACCAATTCAGGCAAGTGAGAGCATGATCAGGCATTCAGATGTGCTCAATTACTGGCCACGCCACTAATTGGTGCGTGAAATGCATCAGTCAAGCTCTGTTCCCCATTCCTTGCTAAACTCCCAAGACCAGATAACAATAATTCTTGCATTTGATATAGCGCCTTATCACGTCTCCAAGTTGTCTCAAAGCACTTCACAGAATATGATGTAAAGTGAATTGACTGTATATTTTGTGGGCGAAACGCAGCAGCCAATGCTGCACGGCAGTGTCCCACAAACAGTCGTGCTTCTTGAAACATACTAACCAGGTGCCAAGCCTTCCAGCTGTATAAGTGAACACTTGTGAGCAAGTGCAGACAGCTGTATGCCTTAAATACTCGCCCCAGATGCCATTCCTGCTGCATTAAGCTGTAAACAGAAACTGGAGATTAAAAGAGAAAATGATGCCAGGTTAGGTGGCAGTACTCTTCCAATCAAACTGACAGATATAACCAAGCTTCTGCCTCATATCAGTCAGTGCATTTCTTCCTCTTCTGTAGCACCCATCGGCAGTTTATTAACAGCTTCTTGTGGATTAGTGAATGTGTGGGAACAGATACATACAGTCAAGGTGAGGATTCCAGACCATGCCTCACTTATATAAAATATTTCCAACTATTTTCCAAATGAGGGCTGCAGAAACATCCCGTGCAACACAGACTTCATGGGTCTTCTGTTCAAACTGTCGATCAAACCTGACAGCTGGTAATATTGCCTATCCCCTTTTTGAGCAAAGTGGGTGTCTTTATAATTGGAGGGTGCATCGCTTTATTGCTATCTTTACTATATTTTTCTACAGACATATTTGTGTTGGCAGGGGCAATATACAGGGAGGGTGTGTCAAATCGTCCAAAGGCTTGCGGGGACGCAGAGTTACTAAATCCTGAAATTTGAGGTACTGCATGAACCTAATTCTTGTATTTCTCTAATGTTGCATCTTATTGAGTGTGAGTGATCATTGAGTAAGAGAAAATTAGTCAGTTGTTGACCCAGGTGAGAATTTTACTCATCATTAAATAGGTGCCAGATTTAATTGCTTCAAATAAATTAGGTTAAATTAGCTTTACAGCTCTTTGCCTGTTTCTTTAGTGAATCCTTTAGTTACCCCAGGCTGGTTCCCCAATGCTGGTGCCTGACTGAAATCAACTAATTCATCTCAAACTAGGGATTGAACCCAAAACTTTTTCATGTGTTTAGCTTATTGCTATGCTGAATGGTAGCAATTCTGATACACTGTTCCAGTTAGTCAGTATAATGTAGCCTGGACCCTCACCCATGAGGAGCTTAAATTCTTAGACCAAGGTCAATGACATGGTAAGCCTCTACTGCATAAGATATGAGCCTGCATCTGACAAAATAAGCACTTGTTTGTTGTTTCGAAAGAACATCAGAGACGACTGGGATAAAAATAATTTTATTTGGTTCTAAGTGTTCAGACCTCTTTAACATTTTTGAAAATTATATATGCTTCAATTGCCTTCTACTTATCTTACTGATACAAGTTTCTATTAATTTTGCATTGCTACTCTGGAGGCATCATTTCTGTGAACTCGTTTAATTTGAAAGAAGTTGTGGAATGAATGGGTCATGGACTGCATTTGACATTACTGGTCAGAGAAATAGTCGGAAGCAAATCACAGCAGTTCATGAAACTGTGTTACCTTGTTACAAAAACTGTAGCAATAATTATTTTTGCAGTAGATAACTAATAAAAATTACTGTTAAGAACTGCACTCTTTCAGTACACTGTCAGCATATTACTGAGTAAAGTGTGAAACGTATACTTGTAGTTAATGCAAACTGTTAAGGGTAATCTGTAGTTACTGTCTAATCCTAGGTTTAGGACAATTTTGTCCTCAGATTTAAGATCACATGGAATTGTAGAACATTTTTAAATCCAGTGTTAATTTGAAGGGTGCTTCTCTGCAATTGATAAAAAGAGATCACTCCCAAATTAAGACTTGAATTTAAGAATTTTCTACAATTCTGTACAAACTTAAATTTTAAGACAAAATGCCTGTTTGCAGGGTAGGACTAGGCATTTTGGGCCTCGGCTGTAAAGAATGCAAATACAACACTTCACTGTGAGAATAGATATTCTAGGTAATAGATTTTGAATGACTGGAGCTTATGTGTGGACATTGTTGTGTATTTCGTGTGAATTTTCAGAACTATCAAATTAAGTAATTTTGTAACATTTTGGGTTAAAAAAAGTGTAATTTGTAGCAAGTCACAAGCAGCAACTCTTACTGGTAACTGGAAAAGCATCAGATTGACACAGTATAATAAACAGGCAAGATAAGGTATCCCAATCTGTATCGAGCTGTTACTTGAATGATATTTTGTACTATGTTTGCTACTGCTGTTTGAAATATCAGTTATTGACTTTACTTAATGTCAAAAACACCAACCAAAAATAAATGTACTTATGTTTGTTATTTGACCTTCCCTATTTGACACTCATTGAATGCCATAGAGCACAAATCAGTATCATTTTCCAAGTAATAATTCATCTAGAGAACGCAATGGCAGCTGTTTTGATGTCAGAAAATTTGCATTAACTGCAGACGTAGAAGTACTGAGTAATGCAATTGGCCATTTAAAGCACATTGTGACTGTGAGTAACACTACCATCGATTCAAAATGATGACTAACCAGCCAACCTGGCTCATTGGCAGGACTTGGAGGTGCAGAATGTGGGCAGGAATTCTTCCCATTCGGGTGCTGGTCACCATGCAAGTTAAAACACTTACAGGTAGGGTGATTCTCTCTAGACAAGAAGTAGGAAGCTTGTCAAACATGCTCTCAAACAAGTTATGACGTGAAAGGCGCTTTTTTCAATGCAATTTGTTGTTGTTGTAGTTACCAAATTTCATTTAGCAAATGGTGAGCTGTACTAGATGCTCCAATTTTCCATCTAGCTACAAGAATAGAGATAAATTCTTGAAGGGAATCAGTTATGGCTCTCAACACCTTGATGTTTTGTTAGAGGATGAGTTTTTATTGGGTCATCGGTATGAGTGAGAGTTAACTTTCCAGAAGGGACTCCTTCTCACACTTTCCAAGGATGTCTGAATAAGGAGTAGCATTATGGTGTCCACAGAGATATTCATGAACTGAGCTGTCCATCATTCAACCCTAAGGAGGGTGAGAAAGGTGGGGTAGGTAAGTGTTAGCTATTTATAATAAAAGAAAGAGGATTAATCAGGCTTTCCCACAGTGGTTTTATTGCAGCAAGGTACTTTTATATGCTTTGAAACCTTTGTGATAAAAGTGACCTCCCAGATAAATGGTGATTTGTAATTTTCATTTTAAATTTGCTCTTTCCTCTTTATTCATAAACAAAAGAACAGAGTAGAAGAGCTTAAACCATGAGGTTGTTTTGCAAAGTAGGCTATCAAATGGCAATGTCTCACCACTCGAATATGTATTTTTTCTCTCTTGAGTAACACTGCTCCTCATCTGTCACATGAAGCAACTGCAAAACGTTGTCAACATATTTAGTGTGTAAACAATTATTATTTGCCAAAGGTGATGATGTATCATTTTCTATTTTAATTGTTACAATATTTACTAACTATTCTGCCTATAATTATTATTATTCTGTATCTGTTTCTTTTTTTGATATCAGCAATAGCATGGAGACCACTGAACTATTTCTCTCTATTTTTAAAAACAATATAATCATGCTGAAGAAAAATAAAATGAAATGCTAAAACATGAGGGAGAGGGGAATAGAGAGGTATGGGAAAGGTGATAACGAAGGGTGGAGAGCCATGGGTGAAGTGTAAACATCGGTCTGGTCTATTTGAGCCAAATAGCCTGTTTCCATGTTGTAATGTTCTGTGTAACTCTATGTAACATATAATAATGCTTACATTTGATGTAGCTCCTAATTATCTTGCTGAGATGTTTCAAAGCCCTTCACGGATTTTCTGTGTAGTTTCGTGACTGTGTGTTTTGTAGATTAATGCAGGAAACAATTTGTGCACAATAATGTCCCACAAACAGCCATGAAGTAAATGACCAATTTTATCTGGGGCATTGTTGGGTTAGTAGCCAATGACATTCGTATGTGATTTCTGTTCTTTGCTGCATTTTTAAATTGCTTTTTGAGTGACTTGCAAAACCATTGCTGTTAGTTTTCTTTCTACAGGATGAGTTTTGTGAGAATAGTATTTTTTTCTCATTTTATCAGTATTGCAAAATGCAAAGTCTTGCCCACCATTCCTCTCTCCACTTTCAAGAAGCTACTTATGCTGAAGTATAGTTCATTAGGAGCCAGATGCCCTCCTCTACCTTGTCCAAGTGACAATTCTTCCTCTGTTAGCCTATACGGTGAGCTTCAATATACTTATCAGCTTGAGAAGTGAAGAATTCACAACCAAACTTGATCTTATTCTTACTTTCAGTAGAAATAGCTGTACGTTGATCAGGAGTGGTACAGCTGAGTGAGAAGAAGCCCTGCTCCCAGTGACTAGTCTGCCCCTCCAATCCCTGTTTGCAGTGGGCTTGTCTATTTGCCGATGCCCTTTACATGAGGACCTGGATTAAGCATCTGATGCTGAGTAAACTTTGTATGCTGGCAAATTCCAAGCTGTCCTGTAAATGTTCTCCCACTACGTTGAAGGCAAATGTCTGTCAGATAGCTGATCAGGAAACTATGAGGTTTGGGGCAACAGCAGCTGGAAGGCATTACCTGGAGCCCAAGTTTGTGAACACGTTAGTACATCCAGCACTTGGAATCCACCTTGATTGCTCCAAGGTAACAGAATGTCACAATAAAAACAGCCGTCTGTGGTGGTCTCGATAATTCAGTTTCTGAGCCAGATAGGTCCACAGTACTCCAAAGCACTGATGACAGCTCAGCCAGTCTGGCTCATCGGCAGGAAGGCCAGTCAGTCACCTGGGGCAGGGCCTCTCCCACTCGGCTCCCGTTAACCTTGCAAGGCAAAGTACTAACAGGTAGGGTGGTCCTAGCTGGCCAAGCAGTGGGAACGCCCCATTCACGAACCAGTTGGTTTGTTATCACTTCTTTCAGGAGTCACATTACCAAGAGTGCCACTGAAGGATGACTCATTTACAACATGCTGTTGCCAAGCACGTCGCCTTGGAGCCAGCTCAGTTGCAAGGAGATCATGCTTGCCTCCCCCGCCCCCAGTGACTACTGGTTGGTCATTTGACATTGACAAGAACAGATTTGAGCCCTCATGAGGTGGATGGTTGTCTTCATGGTTGTTTGTGATCATTGCTGAGTGCAAATTGGCTAATGCATTCTTTTGCAAAATGCACAATCACTATATTATGAGAAGCTTTGAGATGTCCTTCTGATATGAAAGGTGCTATACTAAATGCAAGAGAAAACAAAATACATTTAAAATGGTGATAGTAAGGAGCAGGCTTTTATTTATAATAGACACTAAATGTTAATACAATTATTGTATTAACATTTACTGCTTTTAAATAATTCATGTAATGGTTGGTATTTTTGTTTTATGCATATGATAATTTAAAATCATTTGTGTCTTAGGTGCACTTCATTACTTTTCTTGTTAATGTTCAAGTATGTACTATTTTTGGGCTGTACTTGTATTTGATGTTATATAACTCATGGGTCAAGTGATTTGTTCAGATTCTTTGAAGTTAGTACACTTCAGGTTTTATTTGATCAGAATTAATATTTAGTGCACTGTTGGGAAATAATTATGAAAAAGAAGTCCTAATTGGCATTGACTAGTAACAGGCATGACTAAATTGGCCTTCACAAGTGTTTCTGGGTTAATAATAAACTTCAAACCATTGCTGAAAATCGTATGCTCTGACCACCGCAGTTGTGTCACATTCCTGAGATAACCATACTATTGGACATTGTCTGTCATGAAAATCAGTCCACATGTGATTGAAGGGTCATGAGGTATGGGTTGATTTTGAAAAAAAGTTCTTTATTTGCATTTATGGTACATTTTAACAGATCACTTTAAACTAACCTGAACCTATAAGAGGTGTTCACATGAAATAAAATGACAGAAGTTTACTGCGCAATGAAAATGAGTAATATGGGTTCGATTTCCTTTTCATTGCTGAGGTAGGCAAAATCCAAGCACAAAACATCATGGCTGACATGGAGCTTGGCTCAGTGTAATATGTGGGTTGAGGTATAAGGACAGGATGTTTACGTGTCCTCTCAGTAAGAGGTATGGATCAGTTAGCCTGCAGAACTAAGGGGAAAATCAACACTTTTAATGTATTTATTATACAAGAATGCATTTTTGTATGATGGGTACATTTCAGTACATTTCAGTTTTGTAGAATTTGCTGCAATTCATCACTTAGAAATAAATGCAACTGAGAAGTTGACAATGAAAATGAGTGAATGTTCTTGTGTGTGCTATGGCCTAAACATAATCAATACCACAGCTAGGATCTGTTATAATAATGTCAGAGTGTCAGTGATACGTCTCGAAGTGCTTCTCAGATTTCCAGTAAAGTGTAGTGACTGTGTATTTGAAGGAAAATGTTGTGCTGCAGTTGTGCTCTACAAATATATGGAAGTTTATTTTGATGACATGAAAACAAACTTGTTACAAATTCTATTTTACATATGCATTAATAAAATTCAGCAGTGAAGGAAGAGCAGTAACTGTATTCAGAAGGCTGATTAGACATGCACAGAATTTCAGAATTGTATGTTATCTGGTCAGTGTTACTTACAGGGAAATTTGTCATTTAAAATTTTGAACATTTTGATTATCGGGTGCAATTTCAACACTTAATGAGAAGTTGCCATAGTAATTAATCATTACTCTTGAAAACTAATCATTGAATTTAAAAATCAGTGGACATTGGATAGTAAGTGAAGATCATGATCTCAAATTAGCGAATGCTTCATCTGAAATGGGGAAATAATGTTTTTGTTTTGTTTTGGTACTTAAAAGCCATTTATTGTTTTTTAAGTGAGAAATGATGGTAAAAGCAGAGTGCAAATGTCTGCTAATATATTTGTGTAATTTACTTCTATTCATACATGAAATACTGCTTTTGTGTCTATCAGCCTGGTTCAGTGGTAGTACTCGCTGCTGAGTCAGAATGTTGTGGGTTGAAACCCCACTTAGGGACTTGGAATCATATAGTCTAAGCTGACACTTGTGTTGCATTATCAGGGGACCATCCTTTGGACGAAATGTTAAACCGGGGTCCCGACTGCCTGTTCAGGTGGATGTTAAAAATCCCATGGCGGTATTTGAAAAGAGAAGGGAGTTTTTCCAATGTCTTGGCCAACAATTCCATGGCTGTTTGTGGGACTTGTAATTTGCTGCCACATTTCACTCACAGTGAAACCACTTTACAGTACGTCTTGTGACGCACTTTGAGACGTCACGATGATGTGATAAGGCACTATATCAAATACATGGATTATTATTATTGAGAGTGTAAGACAACAGCTTGCAGTTCCATTTTGAAACACCTCTATATGTTAGGTAATCAAGAATGTAGGAGATGCTTTCTTAAGTCAATCTTGTTGATCTGAAAAATTGATATTGGACTGTATATTTGGTGCCATGTGCCAGATTGATAATGACAAACAAAAACCAGTTTAACCTTGATAAAGTTTGTGGAAGATGCTAGGATTTCATATTGCTGTCGTAAGCAATCTTTATATGGAGGTGTTGGGCGTGATGCATTTGATGATTGGCTATCATTGTATACTCCCCTCTTCTTCAGTTCATCTGTTCATCTGTCTGTATGACGCAACCCAGACCAAGGTCTCATAAAACTGTACAAAATTGCATTCAACAATTATCAACCCAGTGACAATTTTCATCAGTTTGGTCTGCTAGCCAGGACTGAATGAGAAACTTTTTTTGAATATTAAGGTAATGTTCATTTTAGTTACTGAATAAATTAGTATAATTATTGCACTCAGATATTCAAGATAAAATATTCTTGCTTGTAACTGTTCTTTTACTTAACTTAATTTCTGGTGTGTACTTTGCTCATTTATACTCTGTACTTCTTGGAAATCTAAAGAAAAAACATGGGGAAGAACAATCCGACAATTGATTATTGTATTGTGCCAAGTGTTGTTTTGGCTTGTTTTTTTGCTGTATACATACTTGGGGAATTGTATGTATTGTTTACTTTATTAACTGACATAGCATTTCAGAGTGTGCAGAATTGGGAAAATTGTTGAATTAAATTTTAACTCTTTTCTCACATGTTTAAAATAAACTTACAGAAATCTGGCTTCAAAATTAAAAATGCATTTAAGTAGTTGAAAAATTCTGGATGCTCTGAAATGTTACGTTAAAAGAGTAAATTAAGTCCCAGATGGAAGTTCTACTCAACTATATGTAATATGTTATATATAATATATATTATAGACAGTAGACATTCAGGCAGCACGACTGGTTCATTTTGTAGAATACATTTGCAGAGTATGTGCTTTTGTCCCCTCAGGTACATTGATGGGTAGTATAGGGATACATGCAGGCAAAACTCTCAAACGATTTGCTTTCATTATTGTTGTATCAGAGACGTAAACATGGGATAGGGAGAAGGGATATGCTGTTTGGAAGTTTGTATAATTGTATTTTGATTAATAATTTGTGTCAAATGGACACGTGTTTAATGTGTTACAATGAATTGTAATGTTTTCGAAATATCTCTATATGTAAACACTTTGCATACATCAGTTGCCACAGCGTTTCCAAAAACAAAAATTATTTTAAGCTCGAATTCAAGAGACAAAGAAAAAGCAAGCCTGAAACAGTTTTAAGTTTGACGTATTCTCATTCTGTGACCAAGGTTCCCTGTGTCTCCTCGTCCTCTTTAACCTTTCTGCCTTCACACTATCAGCCACTCTATCCTCCTTGATCCTTTCTGCTCTCTCATCCATCTCCGTGGTCCTGCACTTTCCTGGTTCCAATCCTCCATTTTGTTTCTTCTGATGGTTTATCCTCTCCCTCCCACACAGTCACCTCAGGAATCTACCCTTAGTCCCCTCCTTTTTCTCGTCCTACATACTCCCTCTTGCTGGCATCATCTGCAAACATGGGATTAGTTTCCACATGGATGACATCCAAATCTACTTCTCTAGTATCTTCCTTTGATTCCAAGTCCACTAATGTTCTGATCACCTGTCTGGCAGACATCAACTCCTGGATGAGTCTCAACTTTCTTCAGCTGAACATTGGCATTGTCCTTGAATTTTGTTCATTCTCTTGCCTCCTGTCAATGCCTCATTGTTTCTGGCTCCAATTTCTTCAACCTTCACATCTTTTCTCTCCAACTCACTGAAACCCTGGCCCTCAACAACAACAACAACATGCATTTATATAGCGCCCCTCACGCAGGGTAGCATCCCAGAGCGCTTGACAGTGGCTGGGTACGACACCGACCCATGGGGAGGAGGAGGTGACCGTAGGCACAGTCGAATAGGAAGGTCTTCAGACGTGACCTGAAGATGGAAGTAGATTGGCATTCATCATCCCTAATTCTGTGTGACTTTTTTTTGTGATAGGTAATACAGCTCCCGGAAAGTTAAATTCAGAATTATCAAGACTTTTTTCAGCCAGAAAAGGAAGCAGCTCCTCAAAGTTCCTGTAAGTTTTTGCCATTCTGAGTGACTTCTAAGTGACTGTGAAGAAATAATAACAGATAAGGTATTTTGATAGACTTTTAATCCAGTTTGACTTCTATTTTTTTTTAATAAATGCAGTATGAAGTGTATACTTAGTTGGATAAGAATTTTGTGAGACTTTCCTTTGTGAAGCTTCAAACTTGAATTGTATAAACTATTCTTTTGACTAGATTTTAGGCAATTAAATGCATACCAAAGTAAATTGAGCTAGCAGTGTATATGTGTGTTGACACTGTGTGCCTTGTTACTGTACAGCATCATGATAGGAATCTAGTTTTAGCTTAAGGAGTGTTAAAATTCACATTAAACTGTTTTGTGCTATTTATGAACACAGCAATGCAGTAAACATGACCTTTCCATTTAACCACCTCCCACTCCCACAGTTCTCAGGAAAATGTATTGTAGTGTAAATCAGTGTAATCAGAATTCATTTTTCCACATGTATTTGTTAAATTTGTTATGATCATCAGTTGTTTAAACTTTTCTTTATGGTCTTAATAACTGTTGCTTCTCAATACATCACCTTTCTCAATGGCTATCTTAGTTAGTAATACTGCTGACCTTGGAGAAGAAAACAAAATTCCTCTGCCGAATCTATGACCATTCTGCTTTTAATATTTTACAAAAGAGTCAATATGAAATGCCAAAGAACAAAATAGGCAAGCTGGCTATTACGCAGAGAATGACTCAATGTGATTTGTTCTTTTTTTCTACTGTTGAACAGAACATCGTGTACAGGAAATCAATACCAATACAAAGGTGGGAAAGAAAAGGTACAGATAGCAGACAAATAGTGTCCCTTCTTCAAGAGTTGTAAGACCTGCTGGATTTGTTTTCCATAAAAAAATGGATCGAATGGAACTTCAGAGAGTTAGCACTGAAGCCGATGATGAGAGTTTTGAAGGAGACAGCATTGATGACAACTATACTCGAATGATTGATTCAGAAAAAGCTACCATTAGTAGGTAAGACCGTGACTGCTGAAGGACCCTAATTCCATCTTCTCATAATCTATAAGGCCATTTTACTTAAAGTTTAAGTTGGAGCAAAATTGTGGAAAATTCTTCAATTCAGTTTTAATTTGGAAGCTGGTTCTTTTTGAGAAATGAGAAAAAATCAGCTTTCAAATCGAAACTGGATTTAAGAATTCTGTGAATTCTCAAAACTTAAAGCAAAATTGTCTTACATGCTAAAGATAGGGGAATTCTGGTTCCCTTGGCTTTTCAAGGTAGAATTTCTGAAAGCATCATTATTTTACAAAAAATCCATTTAAATTAAAAAGGTGCTAGGATATTGTCTCATTTAAGAAATGTCTTGATGCTACAAAATGAAGAAGGTGCTGTTGGTAGGATGAGTTGAAACAGACTGAACCTCTCCTTTGATTAAATGTATTTATGTTTCATATGAAACATGGCAAAACAAGTAATGGCAACGCATCAAAACTGGCTCTTTCATCTGTTACCGTTAGAGAAAAACGTTTTTTGTTTAAATTGCTGTGCGCAATTGGCTGCAGCATTTTGCCCACAAAATATACAGTCAATTCACTTTACATTGCACTTTGAGACGTCTCGAAGAAGTGATAAGGCGCTATGTCAAATGCAAGGCTTATTATTTATTATTATTATCAATATAACAAACTGTGTATAAAATAATAACAAAAGTATGGGGAGTATACTGTATAATATGCTTGTGCCACAGTAAAGCAGAGAACCCAGTATTAAAACCAAGTAAATTTGAAGCAATCAAGCAAGAGGGTTAACAAAATGAATGAGCATTCAGAACTTGCCTGATGCATTGTTAAATGAATTATTCACAGTTGGTGGATTACTGTTGCATGAGCTTTTTGTGATATAAACTATTGTAGTATAATGACCAATAGCTTTTGCTGCAGGTGCTCATTTAATCACCAGATGGAAAGTCTCTTTGTCTTTGATATCAATGTATTTATTGTTGTTTGCTTTTTAATTGCTAAATGAAAGCAACTGAAAGCAAGTACTTTATAGATGCTGACATCTAAGACGTGCTGAGTTGAGCCTCTGCAGCTTCAGACACAGCTGCTGGAACAGCTCTGCTCAAGCTATCTACAGATCTGCCAGGTGAAAGTTGGCAAAGTTGTGACCAAACAGGCACAGTTTCCAGTCTGTCTCCAGCTCCCTTGATCAGAGGTCCTAAATCCCATTAATATCATAGCAGACTTTAACATTATCACAGACAGTATTCATGCTTACTGGGTTACAACAACAACCAAAATTAATCTTTCTCTTAACAGTATTCTCTCTACCTATTCCCTAAATCTAATCACACTACTCAGTCTAAACTCACCCCTTCTGCCAAAAAGGAACCTGGGCCCTGCCAATCCTCAGATTACATGTAAAATGTACATACCTGAGATTCACCTATAAAAGAAGTGTGTGATATCTTCAATGTACATATTGTTACCTCCCCCTTCTTCCTTGCTTAGCAATGACTCCATCCCTGTGAAATGCAGTGAGACATTGTCCCACATGAAGGGTGCTGTATAAATGCAAGTTATTATTGTATCTATCAAGTTATTATTGTATCTACCTGTAAACAAAGTGTATAAACAGTACTAAATAGATTTTTTTAAGAAAACCAGACCAAAAGTATAGTTTTTAAATGCTAAAGGTGTTGATATACTGTTTTTCAGAAAAACAAGATCAATTTTAAATGTTTCCAATGTTCTTGAAATCCTAGCAAGCTTTTGTCTTTTCTTTGATTTGATTTTCAGCCAATTTGCAGATGAAGATGATGCAGAAAGTCGGAAGTTTCTCACAAATGGATTTTTGGGGAAAACAAAATATGAAGAATATCAGGAAGAATACGTGAGTCACGTGCTGAATATTTTCTATATATAGGATACTTTTCACCAGTTTCAAATAATAGTACAAACTATTTCTGTTTTTTTGTTTGTTGTGAAGCCAACAGTGAATACAAGTTATTATGTGGAAGGATACTGACTCACAATGTATTTTTTGTGCAGCATCCAGGAACGACATCATTTGGAATATCGGCATTTAACCTTAGCAATGCCATCATGGGCAGTGGTATTCTTGGACTGTCGTATGCTATGGCCAACACTGGAATCATACTATTTGTGTAAGTACTGAGACAGTTCCTCAAAAGATAACAACTTGTATTTATGTAGCACGCTTCTTGCAAAGTAGTGTCTTGGAGCGCTTAACATTCGCGGAGCTTAATGCCGAGCTGGGGAGCGAAGGGGAAGTGACCGTAGGCACAGTAAAAGAGAAAGGTCTTCAGGTGTGATTTGAAGATGTGCAAAGGGGAGGCAAGGTGGAGGGATTGAGGCAAAGAGTTCCATAGTTTCGGGATGTAGAGGCTGAAAGTAGGGCTGCTAATGATGGAGCGGAGGGGACGAGGGATGTGCAGGAGGCCAGAGTCAGCTGAGCGAAGGGGGCGGGTAGAGGAGTGGGGTGTAAGCCGGTTAGAGAGGTTGAGAGGTGCAGGGAATTAAGTGATTTGCACGTAAGTATGGAGGATCTTAAAATTGATCGTTCTGCAATAGGAAGCTAGGCAAGGACTAAAACAACAGAAATATGATCAGGAGCTTAAGCAATAATAAGCCTCATGTTGATCTCGTACAATGAAATCACCCCAGATTTTAATAAGTGATTTTGTAGAGCCTAATCAGTAGTTTTACTACATTGTATGTATAAACCTGAAAACTATTTCAAGTTTATCGAGAAAAAATAAGCCTTGCATTTGGTACTGAGCTTTTCTCTTCAGGAGACCATCTCAAACCATCTCGTAGGATTTTATTTTGGAAAAGTGGACAAACAATAAATGTTTTGAATCAGCAAGCGACGCTCATCATAGATATATAAAAGTATAAGTTAGAGGACTCGTATAATACAGAATACAGTATTTGTTAAAACTGTGTTTTTCCCCAGTGATACACCAATCTCCAGTGAAGATTGGAGAATGTAGCACAATATGATTAGGATGCTAATATTAGGATGCTCAGATTGGATTACTGCAGTTAAGTTTTGAAATGCAATGTCTCATCTATCAGTGGCTCCATAGGTTTTAAAGATAATTGTACACTTCCAGGAAAAAAAAGTGATCCATAAACTGTAAGACATATGAGGGAGGAAATATAGAGTGACCATGCACAATATAATGTAACTTTATGATGAGCAGTAGCAGCTGTAGGTTCATTCTAAACTGGAGTAAGATCCATTCCTGTTACCATGCATTCCTCTTACCAACTTTTGAAGCCCAGCCTTAAGGATAAAGGTATATCCAAGTAACAGTAAACAGTATTCCTCCACCCGCAACAATTTGGCTGATCACTACATTCGCAAACAAATTATCTAATTTAGGTTTTTTGGATATGGGTCAAACAATGTATTGTTACTTTGAGATGCATCAATTTGAGCACCAGATTAGACAAGACACATGTTTGGTGAAATGTGAATTGTTTTACACCTTAGTAGAAAAACAGCAGATTTTCAATTTTGCATTTGTTGAAATATATATTCTAACCCATTTTCCCCCAAATTAAGATGGGCATAAAGTTTCAGTAAAAGGAATGTCTAGAATTATCGTGAAATGGAATTGCATTTGAAGCCTTAATATCAATTTCCTTGTATAATGGTGGGCTGCACGAGGAGCATCTTGATTGAAATTCAAAGTAACATGGCGTCCAAATTTCTATGAGAATCTGGGTTAAAAAAAGTAATCGATACCATGAAAATAATCATCAGTCTCGTATTTTATCTATGGAAAGGGATGGTTTACCTTTCGAGTTCTGAAAATTGATATTTCAACAAGGTTGTCATTTTCACTTTCATGTGAAGACCATTGATACATAAGAATGCTTCCATAAAATTCTACTTTGTAATATTAAATGTTAGATTTATGCAGAAATACACGACTGTAAATCTTACAACAGAAACCTTGCTCTGAAAGTTGCAAAAGACAAAACTTACCATATTAAGTAAAGGTCTTAAAATAGTTAACATGGTTTAAAAAGTGTGTATCTACATTCACCAGACTTATTTATCAGATTATCTTTTGAACTATGCATGTTTGAAGGTTGCATGCAATTCTTAATACTTGACCAAATATTGCAGGTTTCCCTTTTTTATGGTGCATGCCAGTTAGTCAATTTTTGTTAATCTTGTAAAAGACCATCTGGAAAGTAACACTTGAGTTATCTATATCAAAATGTCAACATTTTTTTCTACATTAACATGTACATTCCAGAGAAACAGCACATCAGTCATGTTGAACTGTAAAAATAAGGCATGTGATAGGATGCAACAGAAACAACTATGCTCCCAAGGCAGAAAATGTTGAAAGAAAGAAGTGATTCATATTTCTATACTTGAATAAATGCTGGCATTTTGAACAACCTAATGAAAGATTCAGTACCAGAGATATTAAATTTCAAAGGAAGAATGCTGCATGCCATTAAGTGGATTCCTTAATATTTCACCAAATTTGTGCAAAAATCCATTGCACCAAATTAATAAGTATTAAATACACTGGTTTATCTGAGGAAAAGTTGCCCTGTTGCTCTCTGCATTGAGTTGCACAATTGGCTGTCTTACTATGCTTTCTGCATAGCTAATTATTCGGGTATTTGTCTTAATTAATATTTTCCATATTCACCTCATCTCTTATTATATAACTAGTAACATGTTGAATGTCTAACAAAGGCATGCCAGGAATAATAAATGTATTCTTCCCGAAATGCAACTTGAAGTTATGTAATATACATTGTAACCACCGGGTTGCCGTTTAAAACACTAGGGGTGTGATGTGATGAGTAACACATCCTGGGGATTCCAGTCTGGAGGCAAACTAATTGCTAACTGCAGTTGGGACCCCCCTCCACACACACACAAATACACCATAGACACCATTATTAATATAGTTTTGCCCCCGAATGCTGCTTTCCCGCAACCATTCAGCTGGCCTGGCTGAGAACATCTCCTATCTTTCCGCTGCTCAGAACCCAGTATTCCGGTATAGGTTTGGAGAATACCAACTTAGCTCAACTTGTAGGATAAGTTAGTGTAAACAAACATTCTAGCTACTGTTTACACTGTGAGAATTTATTGAGCTATTCATACTTGTGTTTCCTCGGTGTTATAAATCACCTTTCATTCTCTTCTAGGTTCCTGCTTTTTGGAGTAGCAATATTATCACTATATTCTGTTCACCTCTTACTAGAGGCTTCAAAAGAAGGAGGTATGGCCACACTTTACTGAAGAAGTTCCAGATCCAGTTCAGCAGTGTATATCACCAAATAATTCCAGTATTAGTAATGCTATCATTTTAACAAAATTATTTTATATTCAGGGTCTATGGTTTATGAGAAATTAGGAGAGCGAGCTTTTGGATTGACTGGAAAGATTGCAGCGTTTTCCTCAATTACATTGCAAAATATTGGAGGTAATATATTTTCTTTACCACTGCCATGAGTAACAGTACTTTCTTTCAATAGAACATTCTAATGTAATGTTGATAGTCTTTGAGTAGTATTTTCTTGTTCAGGATTGGCTATTGTTAGAAAATAATGGGAAATTTTACTTTTAAACTTTTTCATTCATGGTAGAAATGTGTTTTAATGCAACATATGGACATGAATCATTCATAATTGTGCTACATGCACAATTATTTTGAAAGCTTCAATTTAAAATTTCCGAGTCAGGTTTCCAATAATGTCTAACCTGAATGTTATTCTGTTCGGTAGGATCTCTTTTAACATCAGTGTACAAAATAATTCAACATGATTTTTTTTCAATGTTTGTATTAAAATATTTTACTCTGTTCATTAAATCTTTCCATATGCATCAAGCTCATATGAACCCCAAACTTTCTAATGCTCAATTACTTGAGTTATCTGGGATGACCCCAAGCTACCCAGAACATCTTAGCTGTTGTAGGTTGTGCACCTACTATTCATGTTTTGTAGAGCAGAAACAATGACATATTTCTGCTCTGGGTGAAACCTTTTTTGAGCAAAATTAGTATTCATCATTGAAAATAAAACGGGACATATGGCGTGTTAATAAAAAGCTTTAGAGTTCAAGCCAGTCAAAGTAAGCCAATGATATTTCAACATTAAAAATAAATATAACTTTACAGCACTCAGTATAGGATTGTGATTATTCTCCAAATCTTTTTCCTAAAACAGATTAGAATTCTTCTTTCAATGTTCCACTTCTTTAATTTAAAGCACTATAGTGGTTTACATGTAAAATAAATTGAGTTTATGATACTGTATTAAAATAAAACCATATTTCCTTATTTCTATTGCAGCTATATCAAGCTACCTATTTATAATAAAATATGAACTACCAGAAGTAATCCGTGCATTTTTAGGAATTGAAGAGTTGAGTGGGTAAGTATTTTGTTTAAAATGATAATTTTTGAAAGGAACTGTCAATGTGTCTCTTAATCTTCATAATTCTTGCATTTAATATAGCGCTTTATCACATCTTCAAGATTTCTCAAAATGCTTCACAGGAATGTTACTGTGGAGTGACCCTGTATTTATATGCAACATTCTACTGTATATTGTGACTTCTATTACAATTTAGCTATAATTACATATGGAATTAAATAAATTATCTTTTTAAATTTTAGTTTCTGAAAGTAACAAGTTCTATAGTCACTGGCAGCCCTCGGGTACCTCAATTACTTGGCCATACTTACTGTGTGAGTTCAGACAGTAAGTTTCATCAGACTGTTTATTCCAGGAGTAACAGAACCAAATTTTATTCTTTCCCAACCCAGCATTCAAACACCCATTCATTTCCTAATAGGTACCTGTGGGCAGCTGTTTGGAATGGGAAGTGCTCTGGGACACTACCCTGCGTGATGGGTGGTACATAAGTGCAAGTTGTTGTTGAAGTATGACAGACTTTGACATTGTTTGAGATAATATGATTGATACATGTTGAAAGTATTAATTTCTAATAATAGCAACATTGGTCTTTCAGGGAATGGTACCTGAATGGTAAATATCTCGTCGTAATTGTGTCTCTGAGCATTATCCTGCCTCTGACTTTCCTGAAGAATCTAGGTAAATGATTTTTCCTATGACATTGCAATTTATGAACAAGAATTCAGTTACGCTGCTTATCTTGGCAGTTTCACCCCAAATTAAGTGCAGTTCTGTGGAGCGCAATATTAGAATTGGGTTGAAATGGAGGTTAATATCACCGAATATATTCAGAAGCCAATGATGCTACATTTAAGATAGAGCTGCTTAGAATAGCTCTAGTTGACCCGGGAAGTTAAATGAGGCATTACATTATGATTACATGAATAATCACATTTTATATAATCAATTACTCATTACAGTTCAAACAAATAATTTAAATGTTTTTCAAGGAAACAATACGCATAACTCAGAGCAATTTTTTTTTGTTGCTTTTATAGGGTACCTTGGCTATACAAGTGGATTTTCTCTCACTTGTATGATCTTCTTTCTCAGTGTTGTAAGTATAGCTGTGTATGTTAAACATTGTCATGGTTTAACTTCAAAATGAGCAGATCCTGCAGAAAGGAAAGGCCATAGATTTAATGAACTATTTCCATAAAAGGACTTGTCCTCTTTCTACATCCTCTTTGTACATCACGTAAGGATCAAAACTACAGAACTGTTAAGGCTCTGTGAAAGAATGACCCAAATAAGCCATTCAGTCGTTGAGGCACAGTTGACTCCAATTGTTAGAAAACAAACACTTTGTAGCAAGAAGGAAAGAACATACGTTTCCAACATGAACAGTGCCAAGAAACAAGTCAGAGTAATAGTTAAAGTTGGATAGGAACATCCTGTGTGTACCACAAGCCTTCTGATAGCCGCTAACCAGGAGCATTTCCAGGAACAGACCAGTAATGTACATTCTGTCAGCAGCAGAGGTATGAGCCAAACAGATAGAAAAGGAAAATAGGGTGTAACATTTTTTTTGCCTGTTTGCAGGTAATCTACAAGAAATCACAGATCCCCTGTCCATTGCCACTACTTGGTCACCATGCATTAAATCAAACAACACTAGGAAATAGTACAGGCCACCTGCTGACAACAGTGTATCCAATAGTACGCAACAAAAGTGGTGATGATGGCCTGAACCTTATGATGCCTTACTACGGCCACACAGCAAGTCATGATGAAAAGCCAAAAGATGATGCTCACATAGTACACACTAATGGAGTGGTTTATAATGCTCATCAGGATGATGACATGTGCAAACCAAAATACTTTGTCTTTAACTCGCAGGTTGGTAAAACTTTAAATGCATTTGTGAAATAGCTTGTGGAGTCATATTGCTGGATCACTGTTTAATGTGGGAATGTTTTTTTTCCTTTTTCTTTTCAGACTGCCTACACAATTCCCATATTGGCCTTTGCTTTTGTATGTCATCCTGAAGTGCTCCCAATCTACAGTGAACTTAAAGGGTAAGAATTTTCTACTTAAAACTTCAGCACATCAGGTTTCTTTAGAAACGCCATGTAAACAAAACCTAAATACTGCATAATGTTAATAGAAGAAGAAAGTTAAAAGGGAGTATTATTTGAGAACAAAAATTGAAGGTGCTATCCTAGTTTCAGTTTTGTGACTCATTTCACCTCCTGCAGAGACTTGCCATTTCAGGTCTCGACTTGTATTCAGAACTCCGGTAACTATGAACATCGTATGAACATTAATGTTGCATTCAACTAATATGAAAATAACCTGGCCAAACTGGATGTGGCCAAGCCAGAAAAAAGGAATGCCACCGAACAACACAGCAGAATCCTGTCAGTACTTATTTTCTTTATAGGGAAATATGCTGATGACTGCAAATGAATGGAATTGCCTTGGAATGCATTTTCGTGCACTTCATCAGCTTATCTCGAGATAACCAGAGTAGCAGAAAACATGAACCAGAAGTTGAGACCACTATGGCCAATTCTATGATTGGAGGCTGCTAGTATTGTTTCATAGCTTTATAGCAATGTTTAGTGATAGAAAGTGAGTGTTGGAATAGTGAAGCACTGGACTTGCAATTTACGTTCTTAAAACCTGAATATTTCCTACTGTTAGTTGTTTTACTGATGTATTGTAAAGAGAAATTGAAAATGGCCCTTTTACTTTTCAGCCGATCTCAAAAGAAAATGCAACACGTCTCCAATGTATCAATTACTGCTATGCTTATCATGTACCTTATGGCAGCTCTTTTTGGATATCTGACTTTTTATGGTGAGTCAAAATGTTAAGGACTGATATAAAATCCACAGTTTTCACTTTTGTCATCCTCGAATAGTTTCTCTTAGAAGCTAAATATTATTTTGTCACTGTTGTAAATATTTATCAGTATTCATCAGAATCTTGAATACTAAAATGGTAGTATTTAAAACAACTGCCAGCCCGGCTCAGTTGGTAACACTTTTGCCTTTTGGCAAAAGGATATGGTTCAAACTCCAAATCGCGACTTTGAGCTCATAGTCTCGGCTAACACTCCATTGCAGTGTCAAAGTGATTTTAAACCGAGGTCCCATATATCTGTTCAAGTTGATGTTAAAGATTCCATTGCACCACTTGAAAAGAGAAGTGAGTTTCTTCCAATGTCCTGGCTAACAGTCTTCCAGATAAAATTCTGGAACATTGCAGCGTACAAATTGGCTTGCACTCTCGCCTAAAAATACACAGTCACTTCAATTTACGGACACATTGTGAAGCACTCTGAGATGTTGTCAATTTTCTAGAAGTTGTATCAAATACAGTGATTATTATTACTAACATTTCCACAGATCAAGTTGAAACAGAATTGCTTCATACCTATACACAAGTGTACAAGTTTGATACCCTGCTGTTACTAGTCCGTTTGGCTGTGCTGGTAGCTGTCACCCTGACTGTTCCCATTGTGCTATTTCCAGTAAGTATGAATGACTTATTCTCTATGCAAATTTTTAAATGCAAATTAGTCTCTTGATTTTTTTTTCATCTGCGGTATGCTGTTTATTTTTAACTTTAAACTGCTCTTCATTGTCAGATGTATCTTAAAATCATTGTCTTTCTGGTTTATACCAGCCTCAGGATTATGGGTTCTAATTTGCTTTATTTCATTTTTAAAAAATCTGAATTGCCCAAATGGGGTTACCTTCTGGTGACCATTTTGCTATCTGTGGGAACTTTAAAAATCTCATTAAGATATACTGCAAAACAGACTCCAGCATGTTTAAACCAACTTAGATGCCCTAAATGTTAACATATAAATGTTTATATATGTATATATATATATTGTGCCCCTATTGATAGAATACTTTTTAAAATATTAATATGCAGGGAGAATTTATTTTGCATACATTTCCAATTTCACCAAAGTAAAGTGTGTTTCTGAAGTTATACACTTCAATAGTTCATTGAAAGAAGTGGAATGTTAACCTTTCACCATGAGATCTGAAACCAAAATGTCTCATGGTCAATTGCTTTAAAATTTAAGACTCTGCAGAATTTTGGAAAATTCATAATTTATATGATGGATTTGCATAGTTCAGTAAAATGACTTATCAATTAAGACTGAATATAATAACCTTCTCAAGTTCTCCTCAATAGTACATTTAAGACAATATTCAAGGCTATGACCATGAGAAATGTTGGGCTTCTGAATTTAGTTCCAGGTCAAACTGATGGAGTAAAATTTCTTTTCTCTATGTTTCATTTCTATATCTACCATTCTATATCTACCATAGCCCTACCATTGGTGGCCAGGCTCTCAGCCCCGAGGCTCTGGAGCTCTATCCCCCAGTGCCTTTGCCTTGCCTCCTCCCTTTCCTCCTTCAAGGCCGGTCTCAAGACCTTTCTCTTTGACTGTGCCTTCAGCTCCCCTCTCGACTCTCTACCCCCTCCTCGCTCCCTCCCTTCCCTCCCCTCACCTTGACCATTTCCCCCCCTGCTCTGGTCCTGACCCAACTGTACAGCGCCTTGGGACGTCCTCCCGACGTGAAAGGCACTCTATAAATGGAATCTTGTTGTTGTTGTATATCTCCTCTCCATCTTTCTTTGACTTTCTCTCCTAGTATCTGTCTCTTTCTGTAACTCTAATTGTACACTGCATAAATGTAAACATTTCACGCTACCAGGAAAAAGCTCTGTTGTGACCTGTACAACGATGTGCATGTGAGCACAGGGTTGCTAGGAATGGAATTTGGAATTTCCCATCTGACTGAACTATAATAAATCTGTTTGTACACAAATCTGGATTTACAGGATACTGTTTAATGCTGTTCTACTTCGCTTTTCAAAGCAGCATAAATACAACACTACCAATCAAATCAAGGTCTGCTCCAAAATTATCTCTTAAAAGTCTTTCATGGAACTATTTTTGAATCTTACTAAAAAAATGCATTAAAACACTTGACATCAGGTATGAGGTCTTCAACATTTTATTTTCAGCCTCCAGTCAAGTGAGTAGAAATGGGAAATATAAATCAGTTTTTCCATATAAACAGGACTTAAAATGTAGAGGTTGGTTGGATGACTCATGGAAACTGCATTGTCTGCAATAGAAAATAACTGAGAATTGGCTCAATGCGTATGAAATAAAAGCAACCATAACTTCTGCTCTATAACTTCATACACCACTGAAAAATAAGCTTTATATTATCACAAATTCAAATAAATTCTGCAAAAACTCAGTAGAATAAGTTTCCTTAAATCATGATTTCAACTCCAAGGACATTTAATGAGAGAAAGAAAGCGTTAAGGGCAGATAATCAGGTAAAATGGTACCAGTTGATTTGTTAACTTGAATAGGTTGTTTGATTTCCAAATGAATCTGTTTCTGGACCTGTCCTGACAGGTTTTTGTGTGAGTTTTCACACTGGTTTGATCCAACAGTTGTGAAGGGTAATAATTCTTCAAATCACTTTCTTGCCCTTCTGCCAAATCAGCCAAGGTGGTGATGAGGGTTTGGCACCCTGGCAGTTTGAACTTTCTGCTTTAGGCCTCACTTCAACTTGGGAACCTCAGGTGAGCCAGAGATGGCAGCACAATACTAGTTTAGCAACTCAGGATTTTCGTTGAAGTGACAAGACTATTGTGCTGCTCAATAGACATCACTGAATGATTTTTTTTCAAAAATAATTTACTGCATCATTTTAAATCTAAATCAAACATAATGTCAAGCCTACAGCTATAAATGTATTTGTATCAGACTGAACATATTTGGTTGTAGGATCTCTATTTTTAATTCGCTTTGCACTGACATCAACAAGAACCCTGGACTTTGCTTGCTCGGTAGCCTGAGGGATGAGGCAGTGGCGGAGTCTGGCAACGTTGGGGAGGAGGTGGAAGGCAGTGCCGGTCATGGGTCGATATGGGGGAGAAAGGACAGTTCAGGGTACTTTTGCTGCAGATGTTCTTAAGACAAGCGGAGCATGATGCCAAGTTGTGAAAATTCAGGTTGCTAAGTAATCGTTGATGGCTGATTCAGTGTGTGTAGGTGATAAAGCTGTTAAAAACAGGAATATGGAATGTCAGTTTGTTAGCTTAGAGGGATAGGAAAAGTATTATTATGATTTTATGAAAAAGTATGTTTTTGGAAGTGGGAACAGAGCCAGGTAGTTTACTGCTTGTAAAGAAATAAAGCATTTTTCCACAATTATTTCTCTCATGCTTCTTACTTTGCCAGTGGGTTAAAGTATTGGTTTGTGGACCTCTGGCTGTTCATTTCCTCCTTTTTGAATTCCTAAGATAATGTCATTACAATTTTTGAATCTTTCCTTTGGACATCTTGGTACTAGACAGATAGCTGTACTGTTCTTTCATCAATTGTAACAGTTTTGTGGCTGCACAAAACTATTCTGTACTTTTTAACATGACATGTTCACTCTCACTCAGAGACTTGGAGAAATTCACTCTGGTACACGAGGGGGAACTCTTCTGAAATTAGAATTAAAGTATCTTGGACAGTGTAGACAAAGATTTTTTGTACATCTGGCTGTGCTACTCTGGGTGCACAAAAATAAAAAACTGATTCCCCAATACAACAACAACAAAATTACATATATAGAGCGCCTTTCACATCGGAAGGATGTCCCAAAGCGCTGAACAGTCAGGTGTCGGGGCCCGAGCATGGGGGAGGGGTAGTGTAGGGGTGAGGGAAGGCAGAGAGGTGGAAGAGAGACGAAAGGCACAGTCGAAAAGAAGGGTCTTGAGATCGGCCTTGAAGGAAGCAAGGGAGGAAATGAGGCGAAGGGACCGTGGGATGGAGTTCCAGAGTTTGGGGGCAGAGAGGCTGAAAGCTCGGCCACCAATGGTCGAGCGGGAGACATGGAGCAGGCCGGAGCCTGATGAACGGAGGGAGCGGGCAGGTTGGTAGGGAGTCAGCAGGTCAAAGAGGTAGGAGGGGGCAAGGCCATGGATGGCCTTAAAGGTGAGGATGAGGATCTTGAACTCGATCCTCTGGGAGAAGGAGAGCCAGTGGAGTCGGGCGAGGGTGGGAGTGATGGGGTCGCGGAGCCTGGTGCGTGAGAGTACACGAGCTGCAGAGTTTTGGATGATCTGCAGCTTGTGAAGGGAAGAGTTGGGAAGGCCGATGAGGAAGGAATTCTTGTAATCAAGCCTTGATGTGATGAACACGTGGGTGAGGGTTTCAGTAGCCTGAGGGGTGAGGCAGTGGCGGAGTCTGGCAATGTTGCGGAGGAGGTGGTAGGCAGTGCCGGTCATGGGTGGATGTGGGGGAGAAAGGACAGTTCGGGTCAAACAAGATACCCAGGTTCCTGACTGGGTTAGTGAGGTTGAGTTTGCAGCCGTAGAGGCTGATGCTGCCAGCGCCTGAGGTGAAATGAAAGCCGTCAATACAGAACACAGCAATGTCACAGGAAAAAAAATCATAACAATATTTTCAGACTCAATAGGCTCTCAGAGCATAATTTAATTTAATTCTCCTACCTGAAGTAAATTGTATTGCTAAAAATAAATATGTTCAGCCCAATTGGAAAGACATCTGGTTGAACCTTTTCTAATTTTGTTTCTCAAATGAAGTCAAATGAATGAAACAAATTATAATGGGATTGGTGAATTTAACTCATTTTCAACCTCGCATGAACAAAATCCACCTGCCATTTGAAATGGGAATCAAAAGATCTTTATAACCAACTCTACCTGATTCGGGTCTTGTCACAAATAAGCATTAAGATGTCCAAATCTTACAATCCAATTTTCTACTCTGGCTTTGCCATGCAACTCATACTTTTGAAGGAACTGGAACCATAGCAGAATGGTTTTGTCATGCAGAGCTCTGCAATAGAAAATAACTGAGAATTGGCTCAATGCGTATGAAATAAAAGCAACCATAACTTCTACTCTATAACTTACAATTTTTGAGGCTCCTTCACCTGTCACGTTGTTTCCAAAGACAATGCTGCAGTTCTTTTCACCATAGGATTGGATCATTTTGTTAGTGAGAGGTGGCACTTCAAACGGAAGCATATTAGGCAGATTTTGGTTGAGTTTGATCACAACTTATTTTGAAACATTTATGGTTCTCTCAGAAAAGATCCTTTTAAATATTAAAAGAAAGCACCCGTATTGGTGAAATGCAGCCTAAATTGGGAAAATTCTGGTGAAATTTAGGTTTAATTAGATTGAATTAATTTGACCTGTGTTTGACAGTTCAGCAGTTAACAAACGCTAGAACCAGATTTGCTGTGTGTTTGTGGTGATGCTGGAAGTATTTGAACACAATATGGTTTCTTGGTTGTACTTTTATTTAAATTAGGGCCACAGTTAATTGTTTCCTTTTAAATTTCCCCTCAGCTCCTGTATTTGCATTACCAGGTTAAACTCCTGTTTGACTGATGCAATGTTTCTCCGACTTTTATATTTCTCACTTTGGCCTACAAATACAGTTATTAGACTTTGCAGTAATGCCTTGTGAAGTGCTTTGAGATGTTTCGACAACATAAGATGCTATATCAAATGCAACAATAATAATAATCACGTTGTCATAACGTCTCAAAGCACTTCACAGGATATATTGTAAAGTGTGTATTTTGTGGGAAAAATGCAAGGATTATTATTCACTGGTGCCGAAGATAGGATCAGTCTTGCCTCTGAATTCTAATTAATCAAAATTGAGCTAATTCAAATCTATTTGGATTTTACGAATTCTCTCTGTTTGGATCATGAGTAGTTGATTGATATTTAGTGCAATAGCAGGCTTTACAACATATATTGCCTAACATTGTACTGTAATACTTCACATTTAGTGATCTGATGGTGCTCTTCTGATTTCAAAGTCTAAGATTGACAATTATTTTCATATCTGATTAATTTACTTAATTATGTCTAAAATAAGATTGCCTTGCGCTGGTGAAACATTTTCTATGTAATTTGTTTCTTCCTCTAAACTACAACAACAAGATTACATTTGTATAGCGCCTTTCACGTCGGGAGGACAAATGCTCAAAGCTACTTTTGCCCCATTCAAGAATGATGGATTATCTTTTCCTGGTCAGTGACTAACACTTAAAGGCATGTTTGTTGAACTGAGAAACAAAAGTGACGAGGTAATCGTGTAACCCAAAGCTTTAAAGATTATTTTTAGAACATTTTCTGGCATGAGCGCAAGAGTTTGCCAGCCAAAAATGCTATTTGATAATGTACACCTTCAGCTAGCATTACACTCAAATACATTGCAGTGTGCAAGTTCCAATGACTCAGTTGGAAAAGCAACTGCCTATTGAGAAATTGAGCCATAAGATTGCTGATTAGATGCTGGTCAGTGCTGTGTTAACTAATCTCAGTAAGGAAACTGTGATAGATCTCTGGGTTAGGGAGGTGAAAGGTTAGCCAGTTTTTGCATCTGACTACTATTACGGCTGAAGAGTGAGTGTGTGTACAGATGTCTAGTTAAAAGGAATTTCTCCATAGTCCTGATACCTTCCATGTCTGAGTAGCTCACCAATGCTCACTAACAAAGCTCACACATGAAGAATGAACCCTTGGGTGAGCTACCAGGGGGCTGCAGACTAGATTTTCCCAGTTAAAATGGTTTAGTTTTACCACCACTGTCTCATCATGTTCAAAAACAGGTCTTTGTTTGTCCTTTACACCTCATCTATTGTATCTGAAAGTATGTCTTTAAATATGAATAACATTAATGAGTTGCAAATGAAAGATATTAGCAATGTGGAAGAAAATAGTTTCTTTCATATAAACTTCAAAAGTATTCTAAGACATTTATGATGGAAATAAAAAGTCAAATACCAGGTGTAATAATTAGCAGTATATTTTGAACTAGCTATTAAATTCACCATATTATGATTTTCTTCGCAAAGTTGTGATCTTAGTACTCAAAGGAAAGTTGAATAACTGAAAGAAAAACTGAGAATAGCTCTCAGCTTTAAAAGAAAACCATACTTCAACAAAACAGTAAATGTTCTTCTAACTGCTGCTATAATTGTTGATTTCAGATTGTGCTTGATGTAGCATCCTGTTCTGTTGCCCACACCACTAGAAAGAGAGAGTGGTATGGGCAAACAGAGTGGACTGTCTTTCAAAAATAGCATAAATCTGGTGCTTCTATCAGCATATGTAAACATTTAACTGAAGGTTTCTTTCAGAAAGGGATGCTGCAACGTTTTAATGTTCTATTGACAGGGCAGCCCTCGGACTTGTTTGAGATTCAAGTTTGTTTTATTTTTAGCTATGAACATAGTAAAGACAAAATATGAAATATATTCTAATAATATTTTACCTCTGCAGATTCGGACATCAATTCAAGAACTGTTTTTTCCAGGAAGATCATTCAACTGGTTACGTCATATTGGAATTGCAGGATTCCTGCTGATTTTGAATGACCTACTTGTGATATTTGTTCCTAGCATTAGAGATATCTTTGGCTTTATAGGTAAGGCTTTCTTGATCTATAGTATGTGTGTGCACTATTACTATTACTATTACTAGGGTATGTAGAGTAGCATTGAAATCATTTCATTTTGCCCTCTGCTTTCCTGTGTTTCAGGTGCATCTGCTGCTACAATGCTTATCTTCATACTCCCATCAGCATGTTACATCAAACTTGTGAAGAAAGAATCTATGAAATCAATGCAAAAGATTGGGGTGAGCTAATTTTTTTTATGACAACAAATATAAGATGTCGTGATATAATTTTTTTTGCAACTTGTTTTGGTGTTAAAATCTACTCCTAATAATACAACAACAAAATTACATTTACAGAGCGCCTTTCACGTAGTGAGGATGTCCCAAAGTGCTAATACAGCCATATATTTGCTGATTCACCCAGAAGCTTTATTGGAAGTAATGAAGCTTTCTTAGTCAGTGAGTCAGTCTGGCTCCCTTGATAGTTCTTTCTGAGTTAGAAGATTGTTGGCTCAAGCCTCGTGTGTAGATTGAACTCACAGCCTCGCCTGACACTCCAATACAAAGCTGAGGGACCACTGCATTGTCAGAGATGCTGCTCTTTCAATGAAACATTAAACTGAGGTCCAGGCTGCTTGTTCAAGTGAACAATAAAGATCCCATAGCACTGTTTAAAAAGTGAAGGGAGTTCCTCCCAGTGTCCGAGTCGACAATTCTCCAGATAAAATTGGTACTTCATTTCACGTTTTTTTTGGTGGGACATTGCTCTGCACAAATTTGGCTGTGGATATGCAGCACACAAGAAGTCATATTTGCCTCAACCTGATCATCTGGAAGTCGATCATTTTTTAGGGATCAAAGGTCAGTCTGGTGTCTCAAAGTGGTTTGGATTTTCTGTTAAGTAAATATCAGGGTCCATAACTGATAAATGCAAAGATGCATCATAATCAAATGTTTTGTACAATGGATTTCCAATATACTTATACTTAGTTTAAGTTGGAATGATAGAATCATACAAATTTACAGCGCAGAAGGAGGCCATTCGGGCCGTCGAGTCTACACCAGTTCTCAAAAATAGCTGTACTTTCAATCCCATAACTATCTTATTCTGAAAGCCCTTCAAGCCTCTAATTTTCATATAGCTGTCTATTTCCCTCTGAAAACCCACTATGGACTCTGTCTCTGTCACCTTACTTGGCAGGGCATTCCACATCCCAACAACTCTGCGTGGAAAAACAAATTGTGAATAATATCTTAACATAGAAGCAATAAAACTGAAATTATTTTTCTTTCTTATTTTTATAGGCCATGATCTTCCTTGTAATCGGAATCGTCTTTATGATTGGAAGCATGACCCTGATTGTTTTTGACTGGATTCACAATCCTCCAGGCTCTGGTGGACACTAACATGGTTCAGTGCTATGAACACGTTTGGCTGGTTTCATCTTCTAACTGCCCTGACAGACGAACAGTAACAGCAAAGAGTGAGATGCCATTCCTCATTTTTNACTGCAAGATTCCAAAGACTGCGCAGACCTGGTGTTAACACTAGAGATCTTGTCTGTAGATAACTGAAGAATGGTTCTTGCAGGGGAGTCTTTTAGTTGTGCTTGGAATCTTTGAACTTCAAAACAAAACCCCCAGAAAATCCAGATTCAGGATACATAATGTGCTGTGAATCAACAACTAGTACAACAGATGTAGTGTAATTTAACTGCTGTATGTAGTTAACTTAGGGAACTGTGTTCCTGCTGCTTGAATACTGAACATTTCAATGGTCAAGGCTGTGCCAAGAGTTTTCAGATAGTAAACTAAGCATGCATTTTTTGATTTAAAGGACCTGTCTGGGGTTTGAAAAAAAATGTCTTGTATGCTGTAAGAAACAGAACATCTAGCTAGCAGCTCTAGTCTACTGAGTCAAAAGAGCTAAAATGCCCATCAACTTAGAATTTTTTAAAAACAATTATATACACGTACTAGAAATTTCCGATTTTTGTATTCAAGATCAACATGCCATAATGAATATTTCATTTACAAATGACGTTGATCTCCACACACACACCCTGTGCCACTAATGTCTGCACCCAATAATAAAGAGCAATGATCAGCTCCGTTTGTAAGTAAAAGATTTACAAAATACAATTGTATACCTAGCAAAATGGTTGGCTTTCATACATGTCAGGCATGATTGCTTAATTCTAACTCTTTAACGTACAAACATTTAAAATGTGTATAGCATTTGCAGCTTTAAATGCAACTAAAATGCAGGTATTAATGTAATTTGTATTATTTATTACCTTTGTGAAAATACAAAGGAGCTCATTTATGTCTAAGCCTGCTTTTTTCACATTACAGCAAATAACAAAGATCCATTAAGACAGCTAACTATCTTCTTCACAAGAGTATGTATATATTACCATTTACAGCCAGAAAGTGACTCCCATCACAAGCTGCATACCTTTACTCCTGAATGGAGCCATTGAACTGTATTTTTGTTATAAAAGGCACAGAGCAAGCTACAAGCCTAAATAACAACCCGGTCTTCCAACCATAATTAGAAAGGAGTTCAAGGGCAAAGCACTGTATCAATAGTCCTTTTTAGATAGACTAGTGCTATCTATCAAGAATGTTTCAGTGCAGGTAATGGTGATTTCGTAAATGTATATAATTCATACTTTATATGAGTTAGGATTTATTTAAAAGTTGAAAGTCTAGGAAGTTTCCTTAAGTTGCACAATCTATTTTGGCATCTGAGTGGATATTTCGGACACCCATCTGTTTTACCTAACCATAATGTTTGTGATCAATGATCCACTTTTAAATATTTTTAAAAGTTTTTTCCTAAACTTATTTTTTGAGTGTTGCATCAGCAGTTAAGTAAAACAAACTCCTACCACCTTTAATGTTACATAATGCTCTTGAGTTTTGATATGAGAAGATTTATGATGTTCTTGATAATACAAAGCTTGAGAATTATGGTAGTTGGTTTCTTTTCCTAGTTTTTATAAGAACATTGCTTTCTGGATTACTTGATGAGAAAGTTTGGATCATGACAAAAACCCATAACCACAGTGATGGATTAAAAAGAACAAGCCCAGCAGAGGTGTTTTTATTGAATTAGCCAAAGTGGAACTTTATTTATAGATCTTTTGCAGATCTACGAAAGAGGGCAAGTGCATATTGCAAATTAAGTGGCTTATTCCTGTGTGCATGTTTTGGATTACTCACGTGGTCGTTGCTGAATATTTTATGTATTGTAAATAGGAATCCTTATGATAAACTATTGTGAATGTTGCCTGGTTAAATGCTACAGCTAGATCTTAATGTTGTGAAAGATTTTGCAGAAACAAATAGTTGTTCAGTGCCAATGATTTGGGATGTTGACTTGACTGGGCTAAGTGGATAATTGTATTGGTGCTTGATACATTGAGAAGAGGGGTTTGCAAAGGAAAGGAACCATTCAACAACAACAACAACAACAAGATTTCATTTATAGAGCGCCTTTCACGTCGGGAGGACGTCCCAAGGTGCTGGACAGTTGGGTCGGGACCCGAGCTGGGTGAGGGGAGGGAGGGAAGGGAGGGAGCGAGGAGGGGGTAGAGAGTCGAGAGGGGAGCTGAAGGAACGGTTGAAGAGAATTCAGTTCCTGTTAAGGCAAAGAGGCTCTTTAAGTATGTGAAGTAACCTTTACTCCCCAGATAACCTCTGGACAGTGCCACCACAGACAAACCGCTCCATTTGTGCCAGTACAGAGGGTTTCTAGCCCAAATGCTACTGTTTTATTTCTTGTAAGAAACCATATCTAATGGGATGCTGGTATCTCAGAAGACTGAGGGGCCAATGGCACTGATTTACCTGAAACTGGTAGGAACTCGCTTCCATGCTGGAACCTGTCCTCCCAAATTACCTTGCACTATTGGAGCTGGTCTAGACATGTCCTGCTGGAGAATTCTGGACACATCAGACACAGCATGCTGTAAACGTGCTTGGAAGATGAGCATGTGAGGCATTGAGGTCTCCCTCAGTGAAGTCCCAGAAGCACTTCAGGTAGTCGGTAAAGCCTGAAAATGAGTTTAACGTGTCTACAAATTATCTCGAGGAGATTCTCCACTTCAGCATTAATATATTTGCCATTCAAGGAAAAACTAATCTATTCAGTTGTTTAAATTGATTGTTGAATGTTTTTCAAGGGTTTTTTAAAAACAACTTAGGCCACATACATTTTTGGTGAAACTATACATAAATGTCTAAGACCTCTTAAATGCCTTACCAGTGTTCTTCAGAGAAGTGATGAATTTTGTTTTGTGATATAAATGTGTTATGTACAATATTCACAAAGTGACTTAACGTTTATGTGTGGGTGGTTGAAGCTGATGTAGTAACAACAACAAAATTACATTTGTATCAAGTTGCAAATCGCATGTCATGTTCTGGTTTACTTATCAAATTGTTACAACTTCTCCGACTCTTTCACACAAATGGAAATAAATGTCTTCCTTTGATTTACTATCACTGGAAACCAATGGGGCTATTTTGTATTGGAAAATTCTTCGGAAATACATATAATGTTCAATAAAGCTGTATAAAGGCACTCCTGCGCATTATTATTCTTAAGCCATGCACTGAATTTGTGTATTATATTTCTCTAATCTGTACCTAACACTGGAGGTGAATAAAATATAAACTAAAATAATGTGAGTGATGCATGTTAAATCAAATACATGTATAAATCACCCCATATTGGGAGATGCTTGCAAATGAGAACTTGTAAATTCACATTATCATTGAAATGTTTAGTTCAATGTCCATGTTTGCTCAAAATAGAAGATAAAGGTCTTAAAGTAAAATGTGCTTAGCCTGCTACAATTGCTGAACATGCATTTCAGTGAGAGCTTGAGAATCTTGGCTTCCTGAATGTTACTTGATGCACAAAACATGTTTGCATATCTAAGTGTTATTCCACATGTTAAGTGTTGTCCTTGATTCTCCTGTTCATTTTATTTCCAATAAAATAAATAGTTAATGGTACTTTTTTTTAAAAGAAAGAACACATTTAAAGTTTGGACCGTTCTAATATTATTTCTTTATAATTACTTAACTAGATTTCATTTAAATGGGCATCGATTCAAGACTTCATGAAGGTATAAAATAACTGTAACATAAGCTGTTAAGTTTGCTTCTACATATATACGCATCATTTGCCTTCATGTCAAAATCCAATAGGCTGATATTTTTGGCTGTTGCTGCCCAGCCATTATGAATACCTAGTTCGTTAATCACTGTAACCTTTTTTTGCTTGCTCTGTTAAACACTAAAACCAAAGTAATTTCACTCATCTTTTCCTAAATGTTGCAAAAATGTACAATCAAAGATTGCAACTTACACATAGGAATGCAGGAACAGAAACAGTTTCACTATTACCCCAGTAATACTACTACCTAAGTATCAACCTAACTCACTTTTAAATACCGTATCCCTTTTGATTCCACCTCTACAGCTTTCTGGGACAGAGAATTCCACATCTTCACAATTCAGTGTGTGAAGAAAAGCTTCATGATCTCATTCTAACAATATTTAAATACATTGTGTTTTTTTTTGTTTGCTTTTCTGTAAACTCTGATGTGAATTGTCTTCAATTCTGGTATTGGGAGCACACTTACTGCAAAACAAGAATTTTTCTCCCAAAGTTAACTCATACTGAGGTATAGTGCTGCAGATGCTAGCAGACCTTCAATATATATTCTTCATTCATCGGGAGATTTTATCATCAGGAACAATGCAGTTAAGGCTGATCTTGTTGTTGCTCAACAAACAAAACTTAAAAGCATAACAAAACAATGTGTGTGTGTGGCGGGGGCTGGATTTGGCCAACACCCTTTTTGGAATATTTATAACATTGTGTAAAAAATGGAATAGGTTCACAATCATTGAAGTTGGGCTGAGAATATTGTAAAAGTTGTTAACCTTTTCATTGCTGCCATTGTTTAATAAATTATTGGAAGAAGTCAATTATTCAGAACAAATATGCATCAAAATAAACAGCAAAAAAAAACAGTGAAACTCTGATCACTGGTTATCTCAAGGGAAATAGCTCAAGTGACTAATTATCAGCGTTGACTAGTTATCCAGAATACAGTACAGTGGAAGCTGGTTCAGCCAGACTCATTGAGGATGGCTGTTTTGTCCAGCTTAAGAGGAGTCCGAGGTTAGCTAAAACACCATTCCAGACCACCAGAGGGCCGACGCTGTATTTTAATAATGTTATAATGTTGTTTCACTTGAAGCCTTGTTAACTAACCAAACAGGACACCAAGTATTTTAAACTAGGACTTAAACAGTCCTGTCCGGCCCAGCAGAGGGGAGGGGACGGTGGTGCTTCCTCCCTCCCATTGACATTCCCACTGGAGAGGAAAGGGACCAATTAGCGCGGTATGGAAATGATTGACAGCCTGCAGCTGCTTATCAATAGATGGGCTCCACCCACTCACAAATGGCTCAGCTGTCAATCAATTGTGATATTCCCTCCCTTGTTCTGCCCCGTTCCTCCGCCCCCTGACTGATTGACAGCCCAACTCCAGCTGCTTGTGAATGGCTGGAGTCCATCGTCAATCAATCTCAGACTCCATCCATCTCCATTCCAGAGCCCCTCATGGCTGAATGGAACTGCTCGACACACAGACGAGTGAGTACATGCAGCGGCGAAACTGGCATCATTTTGCCTGGATTATATCGTATATTGTCCACACTCACTACTGACGTGTCCTTTAAGATCCAGTGACTTACTGGAATCAACAGGTCTATTTTTGTTACCGCTCAATGTCATTTTGGTACAGTACAGAACATCCCCATTTGGCAGTTCATTGGGTAACTTTGCACATTTCACAATTAAAGATTGTTTGATTCAATATTCAAGGTACGTGCATGCTTCCAAAGCCATTGCATTCACAAAGTGCGATTGGAGGCTGCTACAGACCCTATGATTATGACCAGAGTACAGAGACCACAATTTTGATTATAATACACATTGTTGCCAATATAAATTGTTATCCACTCTGTCAAACACAGTGCAGGATTCATTACCACTGATGCTATACTTGTGGCTTTTAATGTATCAGTGAGATTTACATTTTGTTATATGTTGGATGCATTTACATTCGAAGTAAAAACATTTTTAATTGTTTTAAAGCCGGTGACCAGGCAAGAGGATTGTGGGCTGCAGTTACATTACAATACAAATTATATTTATACAAACTATAATTATACAAATTAATCCCCACAGTATTCCCTATGTATCACCGGTGTAATTAGCATGGAAATATTAAGTTTAGTTTAGGAACCATAACACAATAGCAGAAAAAGGAGCCCTCCAGGAAATAAGGTGAAACAATTGGTAAGAAAAAAGTATTGTTTGGTGCTAGCAATGACTCCTTTCAAATACATTCTCACTATAGTAAGGCTACCATTTCTTGGCAACAGATCGAAACATTAGAGGTTTTGGGTATATCCCAGATACCCTTTTAAAAACCTTGAAAGCATTTACAATACTGTACCAACAGAGAAAAGGTAAGTCAGCTGATTTGAGACACATTAAGCAGTTTGAATTTTTCTTGAAAACAGGACAAAATGTTCCTAAAAACCGATACAGCCGAACATATAAAGAAATTGTTACTGAGTGCCTTTAACATGTTGCTTTATTCATCCTCCTCTGAATTTTATTCTCCATTTCTGCTTAGCATGTCCTTCCTCAGTACAGTAACCCTCGGGTCAAGGTTGAGGCTTACAGCATTGAGGAAGGAAATGCAAAAGCAGAAATTTGAACAAGCTGAGCAGAAATTCGATTTGGAATTCAAACCTGAACTGGGCCCAAATCCTCCCTAAAATTAAAAAAAATGGAAATCTACATCCACTTCCGCACGGGTGTAGATTCCCACCAACTCAACTCTTCTAGTTGGCCACCAGCCCAGGTGACTTTTGCCTTTATCTTATATCTGAGGAATTTCTCTTCATTCTGCAGTGTACAGAGAGAGTAGTCTAATTGCATGTCAATCTGTACCAATTCGTATCAATTCTTCTCATATTTGTTAATTTTTAAGAGTATTGAATCCTGTCATTGATGGAAATAAATACTTCTGACTTACAGAACACTAATTTCAAGAAAGTTATTTATTGAAAACAAAAATAACAAGGAACCAAGAACTGAGGCCTGGAAAAGGCCCAAAGACATGAAGACTATCACATTGTTACTGATCATTGTAACCAAAGCAAACATGGTATGCTGGACAATGTCTACTGGATAGAAGTTGATAACAGTAACAAAGCTTGGGATATGAACTGGAAAGAAAAGCTTGCCACACAAAGTTAAGCGTAAGAATACTACTAGCCACATTGAAGTATAGGTATGTAAATTTCCTGCTGACAGTGTATCATCTAATGGAATGGTTAATGCAGGAAAATAGTTTGA